AACGTGAGAGCTCTCTCACCAATTCAGAGCTTCTCCTCAGTCTCTGTTGGACTCGTCTAGCAAGTTGGCTCATCCCTTTCCTAACTAGGCAGCAACCAGGGATGTTGGTGTTGTTTAGGATCACGCCCTGCTTTAAATGCTTATTCAGCCTCATTACCAATATTCTGGACCTGCTACCTCCATTCATAGTTCAATACATACAGGTTTATGGACTGAAGTGTTAACTCTGCCACTCATGATCACAATTCAGACTAATCATTTATATTAGGAAATATACTGAAAAATACACTCTAATAATTACAATAATATGTTACAGCAAAAGGTAGTTTGCCTGAAAATTAAGGAACATTGTGTTATAGCAACTTTTATTGACTAGTACATTTTATTGCAATAGCAAGAAAAATCAGGGATTAGGATTTGTATTTTCCTCAAAAACTTTTGACTCAAAAAGAGGAAAAATTATCTTCCTATTCTTTCAATGTCCTTTCCCCATATCAAATTTTCTCCAAACTGAAAATGTTTGAAGAAGCTTTTTTTTTAAAAAAAAAGCCAATTTTCAACTTAGTTATAATTAGGTTTTAGTCAATAGAACGGTTTTTAATTTTGTATATTGTCTTTCTCTCCAGTTGATTGGGGTATTTTAAAAGTGAGTCAACTACTTATAGGCAATATATACTATCAGGCAAAATACTGGCTTCCATTGAGAATCACAGTGGTATTATTATCCCTGTGGAAAAATGTAAAAACTGAAGCACAATGAGGTAACGTGACTTGCCTGGCTGATGTAATAATTTTAGATCTCCTGAATTGAGTGATTGGTGAAGATAGTGGACTAGACTCTAGGGCTAATGGGAAAAGGCCTTGGGTCCAATCCCCTGGTAGGACAGATAATAATTCACTATTATGGTTACAGATTCTAGTGAGCCAAACATCTGACACATGTAAGCCATAGGTCAAAAGATGGATCAGGCAAGAGAAGGATCTGCGTATACCCATCCATCCCCACTGACAGAAAGACAGCTGGAAGCACGAGCCCTGGCGAGACCCATCAGTGGTGAAATTAAATACTAAGACTGACAAGTAGACACACATACACCTTGGAAATTTTAACCAAGTATGCTGAAGTATCCTGATGACTATGTTGGATGAACCCACACATCATATTGCATTTGTTCCAAATGACACATCATTTGTTTATTAAAGACATCCATTTCTTATTTGTACTTTAAATTCTGAGCTATTAAAGATAGCTCTCTTTAAGGTTAACCAGTTTATGTTCTTTGTTGACTTTCTGAAATTATGTGAAAGAAGAAAAGTAAAAATGTTCAGCTAAATAAAACTAACACGCTTGGATAGTTGGGTACTCCAGATCTACTTTGGAAACAAGGATATAAAATATAAATTTCTCACACATCATACTTAGCACAGTTATAATCATATTTTAACAAACCAAGTTATTGCCCGGCCAGCATAGCTCAGTGGTTCAGTGTCGACCTATGAATCAAGAGGTCACAGTTCGATTACTGGTCAGGGCACATGCCCAGACTGTGGGTGCAATCCTTAGTGTGGGGCCTGCAGGAAGCAGCCAATCAATGATTCTTTCTCATCATTGATGTTTCTATCTCTCTCTCCTTCTCCCTTCCTCTCTGAAATCAATAAAAATGTATTTTTTAAAAAGTAGGTTGGAAATAAATTACAAATTATTTTTAAAAAAAGAATTCAAGTTATCATAAACGACATCTACTCTAATCCCTCATTTTTCAGATTAAGAAGCAAGAGCCAGAGATGATAAAAGATTTCCCTGTGCAACCAGAAGAGTATCAACACATGGTCATGCCATAGAAAGAGCCTTAGTGGCCATGTTAACTATTGCATGACTGATACGGGGTACCAGTGGTTCACAGCCAGATGGAAGAGGAATTCTCCACTGTGGAATGCATTCCAGTGCAGTGTAAGGTATGGGAAAGAGTAAAAGATTTGGAATCAGATAGATTTGGATTCTCAATCCTGGCTCTTTATTTACTAGCTCTCTACCTTCTAGCTGTATGACAATGAGAAAATTAATCTCTTGGAGTCCAGTTTCTTCATCAATAAATTGGAGATAATCAGACCTAGTGTGAAGGTCTGTTGTGAGGATTAGAAAGAGATGGGAGGTGCCCAAATATTTGTAGCTATTATTATTATCGTTACGAGGCTTTAAGCAATAATGAACTCAATTGCACATGGGAAGATACCAGGGAGCTAGCTTCATAGAGGCATGCTCAATGACTAAGTGTTCCAGAAGGAACAAGCAATAGCTGCAGTGATCATCTGCCATTCTCCATTCCTATCCCCAGATGCCTTTGTCACCTTATACTTTAAAAAACAAATAATTTATTTTGAAAATTCGGCCCAGTCTAGGGGATGGATGTGTGATCCTAAAATATTACAAAACTACCCGGCCTGCACAGAGACTGAGTTAAAAGTCTGGGTTCTCATTTATAAGGTGTCCTATGCAAGTGAAACAACCAGCCACAGCCATAAGGGGCATGGAATTCCCCCAGTTTACTAGGCAACAAAACTGAATGTAGGTCATTATCTCATTTGTACCCATGGAATTTTAATCTATGGTGATGACTGAATGATGGTATGGAGCCGTCAATGCTATTTACAGAAGAATTAATACTCACATTTCCAGAGAGGAGGAGGCACGCCATGCCATACAGGGCCACATGGGGAGCACTAAGTTTTGGTCAGGAGTGAAAAGTCGAGACCAGCACCTTTATTGGGGGTTGTGTGGGAAAGGCAAGGCAGGGCAGGGGTAAACATTTTAGGATTAGCCCGCGTGAATCATTCTGGCAAGCTTTCGGCTTTAGGGGTGGTCTCTAATGGCCTGGTACTTGCCCTGGGATAACTTAGGTCAGGGAAAATATTGGTGTGGAGTGTGAGAGTTAGATAAGAGGAATAGTTGGAGGTATAGTCTCAAAATCGGTTAGTTTGCATACAAAAGGTATATTCCTAGGCAAGTTGTTATTATAATTGGGAATTAGCTAACCCTGGGAGATGCAGTCTCTCCCTGGGTCTGGAAGGCCCCCAAAATATTAAAACATCGTAAGATACAGAAAATAAAAAACAGGATTAGTTACAGTTCATGCTATTTTCTCCTCATCACTTAATCACTTAGTACTCTCCTATGGTATATAAAAATTACATTTTCATTTTATATATACATAGTAAGTAAACTTTGTTTCAACTTTTCATCTGGATGGAGTGTGGGGTGATTATTATTTTGCCTTTCATAAAAATAATTCTTTTAGACCCTGAAGTTCATGTTGAGTGATCAAGCATAGAAGTTCAAGGACTAGAAGGGGTCTTGGAAGTCACGAGGACCAACTCTTTCATTTTACAGCTGGAGAATCAGTCATAAAAAATTCTTGAGGCGTAATGGCTTAACTACTATTAAAATCAAACAGAATATAATTAAGCATGTAATTAAAAGCATTAAGAGCCACGCTTAGCCAAAAAGTGGTTAAATGCCAGAGTGTAACTAAACTTGTTTTTCTTTTCTTGGCTCCTCTCCTTCAAAGTAATAGTTGAAAGTAGAGACATTAGAAAGAACTCTCTGCAGATCGTCAGAAGTTAGAAAACAACTTCAGGAATCCTTTCCAGGACAGATTTCTCTATCTGGAATCATCCTGCCTTCACCATTGCAGTCAGCAGACGTTAGACAAAATCAAGACCATCAACCACGCCAAGACAGCTAGCTTTACAGGTACAATCAAGGCAAAGGCCCTCACCTGATAGACGCCTGTATGAATTCCTATGAGAGAAAAATGAATCACTCTGTTCTAGTTTCCTGTTTTGTTTTGGTTTTAGCCCCTGCTTAAGAATAATAATGGTGGAAATTACACACACACACACACATACATACACACACACACACACACCCTGGAGTAATACTCAGCCATGAAAAAGAATGTAATCTTTCCATTTGTGAAAACATGAATGAACCTTGTGGTCATTATACTAAGTAAAGTAAGTCAGACAGACAAAGACAAATATCCTATGATCTTACTTATATGCAAAATTAAAAATGTTTTCATAAATACAAACAACAGATTGGTGATTGCCAGGGCTGGGGGGTGGGCAAAATGAGTAAAAGGGGTGAAAAAGCACAAACTTCCAATTATAAGTAAATAAATCATGTAGATGTAATGTACAGCATAGTGACGATAGTTAATAATATTATATTGCATCTTTTTTTAAAAAATACATTTTATTGATTTCTTACAGAGAGGAAGGGAGAGGGAGAGAGAGTCAGAAACATTGATGAGAGAGAAACACCGATCAGCTGCCTCCTGCACACTCCCCACTGGGGATGTGCCCGCAACCAAGGTACATGCCCTTGACTGGAATCAAACCTGGGACCCTTGAGTCCGCAGGCCGGCGCTCTATCCGCTGAGCCAAACCGGTTAGGGCTATATTGCATCTTAAGAGATATATCTTAAAAGTCCACATCAGAAGGGGAAAAAAATTTTATAACCATATATGGTGACAGATGTTAACTACAATTGTTTTGGTGATGAGATAGATAGATATATATATTCATATGATACACCTGAAACTAATATGTTATATGTCAATTATATCTCAACTTAAATAAATAGCTGGCAAAAATATTTTAAATGAGTAATAATGGAAAAACAGCAAGGGCAGGCACATTAAATTTGATTTTCTTTTTATTTTAGAGAGAAAGAGGAAGGGAGAGAGAGAAACATTAATTTGTCATTCCACTTATTTATGCATTCATTGGTTGATTCTTACATGTGCCTGACCAAAGATCAAACCCTAAACCTTGCTGTATCAGGATGGTACTCTAACCAAGTGAGCTACCCAGCCAGGGCTAAATTTGGAACTTATTTTTTCCATAGCTTGTTCAGCTGCTTGAGAGTCTAATGATAAGGATGGTATGCAAATAATTAGAAAAAAATGAAATAGTAGACACCTAGGCAAGCCCTTACCTGGAATGAAACGTAGAGACTCTAATTACAGGGAGATGCCCAGGGTGCTAAGAATACCTGGCTTATGATAATGCCTGGCCTCATTCATCCATCTTTCTGAAGCATTGAGCACTGTGAAGTCATACAGACAGATGCCTAGAAACAAACACGGTTAGACAATTATTAGAAATAAAAATCATTTTGTTACTTAGTTTTATCAGTAATACATGCATACAGTTTAAAAAAAATCAACTAGTCCTACAAGACTAGTTACAAAATAGGATATTTGCTGTCACATTTCTATAAGACACCAGCTGGTAGTAATACTAATTCATCTTTCATTTACTGTTTGTCACTTCACAGATCTTAAATATTACCTTTCTTTCTTTCTCTCTCTCTTCTTTCTTTCTTTCTTTCTTTCTTTCTCTCTCTTTTTTACATATAAAGTTACCATAATACCATATCCAAGCAGAGGTTCTCAACCAGGGGAGTTTTGACCCCCAAAGCACATCTGGCAGTGTCTGGAGACATTTTTAGTTCTCCCAAAGTGTAAATAGCCCCAAGGTTGAGAAAACCTACCAATGGGGACATGTTTATATGTACCTGAACTTTCTGGGGCAAAGTCCATAGCTTTTACCAGATTATCAAAGGTGGTACAACTTAAAAATTTAAGAACCACTGGCTTTAATGGATATTTCACCTGGGCCTTGGTAACAAGTGACACATTAATCCCACTTCACAACAGAAATCACCTCTCGAGTTAAAAGGACATCCTGCCAGCCAGATGGCTCTATCCCTTTCCACTGCCCACTCTCATTCACGGCTAAACACACACAGCTCTTTGGATTCCCCCTCAATAGATCCTCTACGTACCCCATCCACCTCCTCTTAGCCAAGTTAATACAGTTATTTTGATTATGGTGGCTATTCAGGATTAAGCTATAGCTTCACGATATGCTAAGAAAAGTCCTGCTTCCTTTATTTTTTTTAAAATATATATTTTTATTGATTTCAGGGAGGGAGAGGAAGAGAGAGATAGAAACATCAATGATTGATCGGCTGCCTCCTGCCCCCCACATTGGGGACCGAGCTCGCAACCCGGGCATGTGCCCTTGACTGGAATCGAACCTGGGACCCTTCAGTCTGCAGGCCGATGCTCTATCCACTGAGCCAAACCAGCCAGGGCGGTCCTGCTTCCTTTAAACACATCCAGTTTGTTCAACACCCATTTATTCAGCGCCTATGATGTTTAACACATGGCTAGACAACTGGGTCCAGAGTGATGAAAATGAGCTTACATTTGAGTCCTGCAGAGAGATTAACAAAAAATTTAAACATACGATTTAAAACTGAAGTATAGCCCTTGCCAGTTTTGCACAGTGGACAGAGCATCGGCCTGTGGACTGAAGGGTTGCGGGATTGATTCCAGTCAAGGGCCTATGCCCGGGTTGCAAGCTCAGTCCCCAGTGGGGGGCATGAGGGAGGCAGCTGATCAATGATTCTCTCTCATCATTGATGTTTCTCTCTCTCTCTCCCTCTCCCTTCCTCTCTGAAATCAATAAAAATATATTTTTAAAAAATAATAAATAAAAATAAATAAATAAATAAATAAAACTGCACTATAGGAGCAGAGGTGTAAAAAGTGGAGGTGAGAGGAGCTGAAAGAAAAATGAAAAGGCAGGATAAGGCTGGACGGAACAACCAGATCACTCCATGCCACCCCAAAGCAATGAGCAGCTAACGTCTTCCGGGGTATCTTAACCCCGATATCTATAACCAGGTCACTGGAGCTGTATACATACTCAACTAACGTGTCCTGGGCGCTGACAGGCAAATTTGGGGGAGTGGAGGCTATGAGCAAGCTGAGCCTGTCAAATGCAAAGGCTTCCTGTTCCCCCTGTTGTTGTCAGATCTAACTACAAAGCAATGTGTGTGTAGCCGCAGTGGTTCTCAACCTTCTGGCCCTTTAAATACAGTTCCTCATGTTGTCACCCAACCATAAAATTATTTTCGTTGCTACTTCGTAACTGTAATGTTGCTACTGTTATGAGTCGTAATGTAAATATCTGATATGCAGGATGGTCTTAGGCGACCCCTGTGAAAGGGCCGGTTCGACCGCCAAAGGGGTCGCGGCCCACAGGTTGAGAACCGCTGGGGGGTAGGGGATATGCAGAATAGAGCCACTGTGGCAAAACGCCGTTCCCAGGTAAGTCAGCGGATATAATCACCTTTGCAAGCACCACCGCTCTTGGTAGATATTGGAAATTAAATGTAGCGGCCCGCAAATCAAGACACAAAAACAAACGTAACCATTCTCCCAGCTGTTAGCCACCCGGTGTATTGTTCGTCGTCACCTACACCGGTCAGGGAGGCCGAGCCAGCGGGTTTCACTGCGGCTGCCAGGCTGCGTCCTGACCTCACCTGAAACCTCAGGCTGGTCAAGTAACCGGGTTCCCGTGGGGATGAGGTGCAGGGCGCCTGATGAGAGAACAAAGGCGGCGCGGCCCCGTTAAAGGCCGCCTGGCCCGCCGGCC